ATTGGCCTACCACTTGTACTAATAAAGTGCCAAGGGCCTAAGTGGTCACCTTAATATTTAAAAAAAAAAAAAAAAAATTCTAATCTAACGCAGTCATGCCTCTCAAAATGCATCTATAAAGACTAAAATTTAGCAATGTGATATGTAGAAGTATAGAGATGGTGCATTTAGAGAGTTTAACCGAATATAGCATATAATAAATAAATAATTAGATTTTTAAATATATAGCGATTATATAAACTGTAAATATAGTATACAAAACCTGAGCTTATTTCATTTCATCAATTTACAATCCAAAATATTTTTAATAAATCTAGATGTGATAATTTAATTTTCAGCAAATTACTATAAAATTTACATGTTATATTGAGTTTTCAGCAAATTTACTTGATTTTAGAGGTAGCAAAAACCTCCAAAATTTATGCAGATCAGTTATGATCTATATGAGAGATGTCCGGGGTCCTGAGTCGACTGTATTTGTATTATATGTATCGATATAAAGAGTGCTTGGCTCATTTATATCCATTTATGAAAAATCGAGGTTATGATCAAAGTTTAAATAATAAGTGAATAGAAGTTCATCATATAAAAGTTGGTAAAAAAAATAGTGAAGATTTGAAATACAGAGAAAGTGTTAAAATGAGTCAAAAAGGTAATGGTAAAGATAAGAATAATAGGACATTAGAAAGATAATAAAGGTAAATAGAAAAATCACGAAAGCATCAATTAAGCTTAGTTTATGTTTGAATCTAATAAGCATAAAGTATGCAAAAGAAAAAGGGTTTACCTAAAAATATATGAATGGAAAAATCAGTAATGAAGTTGTTAGATGTGTTCTTGGTATTGAAGTTGATATTGATAGCATTAAAGTAGTTCAAAAGTTCTATATAAAGCAAGGATTGTGTTGTAATATTGTTCTTGGAATGTCTTGAATTGCGAGAACAGGGTATAGTTTTGAATGGAAGGAAAAAAAGTTGTTATACAATTCAATCCGGTTATGGTGAAATAACATTTGAGATTTCAGAAAAACCAATTATTGATGAAAATGTAGATGAATATACAATGAATAAAGGTATTATGATGAAGAATAATAATTAAAGAAAAGATGAATTTGTAGATATTAGGTGTATTAAAGATGAATTAATGATGTTAATGATGAAGAAAAGAAAAAAGATATTGTTAATAAAAAGAAGAACTTTGATGAATTAAAACAAATAGGTAAAATAAAGATAAAAGTGTATCTGACATATCTTATGAAAATGATGATGAAAAAAAAATGAAGAAATTTTTAATCAATAATGGTGATAAAGATTATATTAATGAAATATAATATCAGTTATTACTATGAAAAAGGAATCGAAATTGTAGTAAAAGTAATGAAAATAAAGTATTCAATTATTATTGTAAATTAGCTAAAATGAGTCATATTGATAAAATGTATAATTTTGATTGTTGTTATGAAAAGAGAATTGATATTAAAATGGATAAATATAAAGCATTCATTCCTTGTCAAAAATCTGCAAATACAAATGATGCTGATGAAGCATCTATAATTAAACATTGTTATTATCACAAAGTTGGAATTGAAAAGAATGAATTTATTTTTTTATTTTTTATTTTTTTTTAAATTTTAGCAGTCTTGCCTTTACTTTATTAGATTTAATAATATTATACTTTGAAATATTAAATTTTTCAGAGAGCTATTTCCCCTAACACCTAAATTACAAGTATTAGCTCACCAGGTTGTTCTCTACGAATACCTATGTACAACCTGCTATAGTAAGGTTTACCTCTGTATTAATTTACCCTGCAAATAAGTTTATCAATACTTTATTGAATGGTTCTTATAGCCTGTCAAAACTACTAATTTATTTTCCACCAATTTGCTCTTTGCCCACCATTTATCTAACTTAAAACTTCATTTTTCACTATATTTAATATTGACTCTCATCTTGCTTCAATCTCATTTATCTGTCTTTTTCTTCTGTAGATCTTATTTGTTGGGTCTTTTTTTTTATTTGCTCTTTTTCTTTCTTTGTTTTCTCTTGGTATCTGCACTATTTCCTCGTTTTTCTTTTCGCATTATACTATTCTTCTTTTTCTAGGTCTGTACTAATTTGCATCTTTCGACTCAAATCTCCTCATATATCCTTTTCATCTATCTCTTCAAAAGCCTTACTATGAAGTCTCTAGCTTGTATATTGGATGTAAAAATTGGCCATATCTTATTAAAGTCCTCTTTCATAATAAGGCCTCTTATCCATCTTTTTCTTCTTTATGACTCTTCAGTGAGGCTTTCTTTTTCTATCATAATCAGAATTTTCTCTCTCTTTTCGTCCAAGTTTTGCACTTCTTCTATTTCTTTAAGAGTCATCTCTACTTCTTGCTCTTCAACATCTCGAATTAGCTCTATCAATACTTCACAACTTACTAAGTGTTCAATGCTTTCTGTTTTTTTTTTGCATATAATACATTTATTAGTTTTGTATAATTCAGGTTTTCTCCGATTAAGCTTTTCAAACACTAGCAAAGCATTGTTTATACGCTTAAATTCAAAGAGCTATATTGTATTTGATCTGAAGGTGTGATTACGCTGCTTAGTTCCACTTTCCAAGATTTTATAGAAAATTGGCCAATACTGTAGAGTTTCTCTTTCTTGATGTATAGTATTTTGACTATTGTATAAAAATATCCATTTTACTCTATTTATAACTTTTCCAAACATTTTGATGAAAGAGTGTATCAGTTTTTCTATAACTTCATTCTCCTATTTATATCTTAGTTTGAACTTCTTTGTGTATAGTGCTGTGGAAGTCAGCAACTCTGTAGAACTTGCACATTCTTTGGTTTTAAGATCTGCCAAATCATTAAAGATATCTACTGAGTGACCCTTAATTTTTTTGAGATGCAGAATTAATTGCTTCATTTTGACTATCTCAACTATTGTTACAATTAGACCACTATTTTTAATCTTAAACCATTGTCTTGCTTTGTTTGCTTCTAGCCCTTTTTTGATTGCAAATATAGCTGCACTACTATTAGTTCTTATTTCCACTTCTTTTTCGTTAGGTGTCACTAGTATCGCTACCAAGATTGCTACCAACTCTGCTTTCATTGATGAAAACCACTTTCGGTACTACAAGCTATTTGACATAAGATTTGGCCTTCTTCTGTTATCTGTACTATTCTACAACCTATTTCTATTTTTGTGAGGCTCTTTGCTATCCCGAGTGAGCCATCTGTATAGAAAAACAAACTATCTAAAGCTAAATTCTGATTTAAGACCTCTATTAAACTACTTCTAAGTGTTCTATCTTCGACTATTTTATCTATTAAACATATTTCCCACCTTGTATAATTTATAACTAGTAATTCTCTTCTCTTGACTTCTGATATCTCTCTCACAGTTACTACTTTTTTCTCTATATCTATTTTAATAGCTTTTTTTAAAGAATATATACTAAAGATTATTTGTAAGCCACTTTCTGATTTTTGTACTAGATTTGATATATCTTCTAGTTTTCTACGCTTCACTGAGACAGGTGTTTGGTTTTCAGCATATTGCAAAAAATTTTGCTCTATCCCTAATTGTAGCCTAGTTGTCTCTATATAATTTTCAATTTCAGCATATTTTTCTTTTTTTCTATAATTTTTCTGATTCTGATCTGTACATGATCTTTATCCTCCCACATGACCCATTCTTTAAATCTTTTATCTTTTCTAACCTTCTCTATACTTATTTTTGGTGTATTCAAATTATATATTTCAAGCTTAAATGTTGGTTTGACTTCTTTTGTTATTGGGTTATCAATCATTATTTCTTCTACCATGTCAAATCATTTTGCCTTTTTTTCTTTTAGGGTGAGATTATTTATCAGTTTAATTTGTTTCTAAGTATACATTGTTTTACCATTTCCTGTTAGGAGCTGCAATGATAAAAATAATCCAATTCTGCTTGCATTCGTTTCTTCATATAGCAATCTACCATTTTCTAAGATCTTTGCAATTTCGTGATCATTAGCTATATGAGAAAGATTTATATTCCACATTTCTGTAAATTTACTCTTTTCTATTGTAAAGCCCAAAGATCTTGCTTGCTGCAGAATTTGTATACACAAGTTTCTTACTTTTAGCTTTCTTTTTGCTAATAGCTCGTAATTTGTTAAAATACATTTGGTTGAGCCTGTCTTGTACTAGCCTTGTTTTAGCCTTATTACTGTCAATTTTTCTAGCAGCCCACCTGTGTTTAGTCTAACTACCAGTTTTGAAAGATAGTATTCTATATGCCTATTCCAAAAACTTTTAAAGTTTGCTATTTCTGAATGCTTTATTATTGCATTTGCTGCTGTGAATGGTATTGACATTTTCTATTTTGTAAGACACATTATAGGTTGGTGTATTCTATTACATTGAGCTTTAGTTAGACATAAAAGCATAAGTCTATACTCTAGTGTGGGTATAAAAACTGCATTGTTTATATATATAATCTGACTGAGTGATATTTTCTTATATTTCAGTAAGGCTGTTATTTTGTTTACTTCTTTCTTTGCTTTATATATATTTGATCTTTGCTGGTTCTTTATTGAGATCCAAACCCCAAGAAAACGAGACAATTCCTTTAAACTCTTTGCTAGGATCTTTGTTTTTGGGTTTCCAGCCTATATATATATATTGTTCTCTATTTTCTTCTATCCTGGTTTCGCTACTACTAATTCAGTCTTGTTTGGGTTTATTTCAATATCATTTAACTTGTAAAATTCATTTGATATATTAATCGTCTCCTGTATACTTTTCTGATCATGTGTCACCCATGTTGTGTCATCTGCGTATGCTAGTACCCCTATTTTTAGCTTTTCACCTTCAATCTTTCTGTTAATATCTATTATACTGTTTTGCATTTCATAGTCTAATTTTGCATCTTGTACTCTACACAAGAGTGGGTCATAAAACATTCTTCACACTAAGAGTAACAAAACTTCTCCTTGGTCTATCTCATCTCCTACTTCAAATAAATCTGTATTGCCATATTCTGTTATGATATTAAACTTTCTGTTTTCGTATAGATGCAAAATAAAGTCTACTAGCTTTGATAGAATTCTAAGTCTTTCTAAAGCTTTTTTTAAAGCCACTATGCTAACTAAGTCGAAGGCTTTCTTCATGTCTTGATACACAATCCACAACTCTTTCTTTTCTTCTATTGCTTCTTCAATTATATTGTTCATAATATGTACTGGGGCTACTGTACTTTCCCTAAGAGACTTGCAAAATTTATACCTTTTAATATATTGTTTTCTCTCATAACTCTGTCTAATCTTGCTTGTACTATTCTTGTTAATATTTTTCTACATGTTTCTAGTAAGGTTATAGGTCTTGTATTACTTAAATTATACTCCCAAAAATTTCCTTTGGGTATTAAATACAATTGTTCTACTTTTCACTTGTCTGGAATTTTGCCATACTTCAAGACTGCATTTATGAATATTATCACCCTTTTTGTTGCCTTTGCTGATAATTTTATAACCAATACAGGATATGCCAGGTACTATTTTATTTTGTGTTTTTCGAAGGGCCTAATACCAATCCTCATCATTAATTGAATTTAGTATATTTTCATACCAGTTCGGGTCTATATCCTTTTTTGGCTCATATTCTTTTTGCCACTCCTGGTTCATTTCTTCAAATTTTTGTTTTCTTCTTCTGAATTGTTTTTGAAAATGTAAGAACACTTGCTACTCTACTTCACTTTCATCACTAATAAGCTCTTGATTCTGATAATGAAAATTTCTTCCAGGAGTACTTTATTTATCACCACTTTGTTGTATAGTCTGTTTAAAAGGCTTTGCAGTATTTTTTTTTTCTTTTTTTTCATCATGTTAAAGCATTGTTCTACTTTAAGGCTAATCTCTTTTTCTTTTCTTTGACGCTCATCTTCTTCTGCCTTTTTTCTCAATACTTTTTCTCAATTTTTCAAATTAGTTATTTCTACCTAGCTCCAATATTCTGGCATGAGTGGAATTTGTGTTTGATACAACTGATTTATATTTTCAATTTGTATATTAAGCCTTAACTAGTCTTTAGAGCTTATTTTTTTCTCATTGTATATATGTTTATCTTTTTGTAGCTAATATAAGAACTTGATTTCTTTGTATACTTCATTCTTAGGTACTGAGGTTTTGGCCTGTATCTCAGTTTTTTTTAATCTTAACCTAGGGGATATA